CTCGCGCTCCCCGGCTTGCCGCTCGCGCTCTCCAACAGCCCAGCACTGGGGAGAGGGCAGGGATTGCTATCGCTTTAAATGGTCGTTCGGCTCCCTCTCCTCCTCCTCCCACTCCCTCCCTCCCTCGCTAGCTCCCTTTCTCTCCCCACCCTTCCCTGCGCCCGCCCTCCCCACTGGTTTGCATCATCACGCAGGGAGGGGCTGCGTGGTGAGGTAAGGGGGGAACGGGTGGGCGGCTGGGGAGGGGGGGGGTAGGTTGCCTCGGAAAGGGAGTTTCATGGTCCTCGGGGAATCTAGGGATTGCGGGTCGCAGACGAGGGCTGAGCTCTGGCCCGCCTGTACCCACCCACGTTCGGGACACGGGTGGCATCAGCCCCGGGATGGGGTGGGGATGTCGGATGCCGACTGTTCCCAGCCCCTAGGTCCCCAGGCTCGGCTCTTAGCTCTGGGAGAAGGCGAGGTGGAAAAGCCAGTGAAGGAGGTTGGCAGGGAGACCCCAGTCCCTACTGCTCATCTGCTTAAGCTAGTTTTTACTTCTAAACACACACACACATATGCACAGGAGCCCGCTGCAAGACTTAAGGAATCTTTACCCAGAAATTTCTCGGGGTGAAGCACGGGGGGCTTAGCCTGCAGGGAAGTAGCCAAGATGAAACGTTAGGAATAGGAATGCATCCTTGGTTTCAGAGGTTGCTAGGGCCAGAGCCCCTCAACTGCCCGTGGTCCCCAGCCAGCAGCTCCGTGGCTGAAACCTTGGACTCATCCCTTTTCTTCCGAGAGATGGAATAACAAGAGAACTCTGCAGAGCGGGCTCTCTTTTCCCGCGCGGACATATCTCAGGTTCCCTCCTATTTCCAGGGATGCTTCTGGGCTGGGGACAGGAATTTGCTAGCAGGAAACAGATGGAAAGAGGAAGCAAAGGGGACATGTGGACTTCTCTTCATTGATTAGGATGCCTTTCTTCTCCTGACTAGGGCTTTGAGGGTTAGCTGGGGCTCCAGAGAAGGCTGCTGAGCAATGAAGCAGCTCTTTATTAAAGACTCCTCTTCCTACAGACCCAGCCAAAAGTTGGCCCATTAAAGCAACAAGTGGCCTTAGTTCCTAAGGGCATGTAATGATTATCCTTGGGCATAGGAATGGACTCCAGGAGGTTAAACCAGGTCTTGCTGAGGCTGTCACAGTGCAAAACAAACAAACAAACAAAAACCTGTCATACAACACTGAGGGTGGAGAGGAAAGCCAGGAGTGTACTAGGAAGCTTCAGAAAGCTCATGAAAAATATGAATTATAAAAATGTGAGACATGGATTTCAGTATGTTTTTTCTTACCAAAATAAACTCGTAATTTAATTGCATTTTTCATAAAGTTTCTGAAGTCCCCCCTCATGTTTTTATTTCTTTATTTTAGGTTTTGACCACAAGGCAAGGATCCACACCAGAAAGAGACAAAGACAGGGAGAGGAAAAGTGAGAAATCACCCCCCAGGGGGGCATGGCCACAGTGCAATCCTTTCTTCTTCACGCTGCTCCTGAAATTTGGGGCATGCACCCACACACTCCCAGCGTGGTGTTCAAGTGGTCATGTCTGGACTGGAATTGTGGTCTGTCATGTGGGAGTCCAGTGCCTTAACCACCATGCCACCTGCTGGTGCCTTTCATTTTTATTTTCAAACTGCCAGCATGTGCCTGTGCTCACCAGAGACAGACAGTGAGGTAGAAGTACTCTGCAATGGGGTGTGGTCATGCAGCAATCCCTTCTCCTTTATTTCCTATCCTGTTGGGATCTGGGGCACGCAGAAGCACTAGGCATGTTTTTCAAGCTACTGGAGCCAGGATTCGAACCAGGATCAGCCATGAGGGGATTCAGCTCTCTTTACCACTAGGCTACAGGATTAACTCCTCCTGACATTTTTTTTAATAGATGCTTTTTATTTTTAACACTCATTATGCCACGAATTCACAGGAAATGCCTCCCTTCCATTGGTTCTCACCAGTTGTGCTTCTCTGGGTGGAGCAGGCTGGCGCTTTAGTTGAATCCAGGTACCTTTCTCTTTGGCTTCCTTCTTTTTCTGGTCATTTTTTTTTTTTTTTAACATTTTAGGAAGCAATCTCTGCTCTTTGAATGTTTAATATGCTCAATACACACATTAATTCTTTTGGCAAACATCTTGCCCTTGTTTGTCTACAACAATGCCAACCGCTGCTGGTGAGCACTGCACACTCTTCCAGCTTGGCCATGGTAGCATCTGTGGGGCATTCCTTTCTGAACAGTACCCCTTCCATCATGTCTACAATATCATCTATTTTGTAGACTCGCATATATGTTGCCCAAGGAACCACTCCATGTTTTTTTCCCAGTCTTTCATACAATTTTATTTTCTCCCTTCAACTGTGATAATGTGATATCCACATTTTGTCTTAACTGGTGGGTCTGTAAACATAGGCTTATCCATCCCACTGACAGGCAAGACAAATCCTACTTCTTGAAATGGTCCCACCATGGACCCTCTGGTCATCCAACCCAGATCGCCCCCTTGCCTGGGTTTATCTTCACTCTAGTGTGTGGCCACTTCATTGAATCTCATTCCACACTTTAACTGTTCCATGGCTTCCATCATTTTGCTGTGTTTTTCACACTGTCGACCTTTAATGCACTGCAGCGCCTTTGGGACCCTGCGCCTTCTTGTCAGCACTATCACTCCCAGATGCTGCTCCCCCTTGACCCGCTTTTCCAGAGCCACTTTTTCCTTTGGGCAATAACTTCAAGACCAGTTGATGAACATTTCCCACTTGTTTTCTAAAAGGCCCAGAGAACGTAGATCATAGATCAGGTGACTATCTTGACCTTTTTCCCTTTGTCTTTGTCATTTTGGTGAATTATTGGAAGACGACAGTTCTGCTCCCCCCCACCAGCCCGGCAGTTTATTTCTTCTTGTCATGAGAGAGCAAGAAAAGAGAGACAGAAACCCCCAAAAGGGTCTTCTCACAGTGATCTTCCCCTGACTCCTCCACCTCTCACACTGCCCACCCTCCTTTCGCCCCCCACTCCCTCACACCCCAGTCATAGGAGTGTCCAGGAGACCCCTGTGTGCGAATGCAGGGCCTTTCTGTGTGGGTCCCAGCTGCATTACCACCTGAACCCTGCTGATGTCCATGCAATAGAGAAAACTGTCATTGCACAAAAAAACCAAAAAGAGAAAAGCTAGAGATGGTTGTCTCCATCAATAACTACCTGTATGGCTTGGCATTTCTTTTCCCTTGCTGGGTTTTAGTTTCCCTATCTGGAAAATGATGAGATCTAAGTGGATGCTCTCCCATTATCTTTGAACTCTCAAATCCTCTGGTAAAACAGGCTGTGTCCCTTTGACCACGGTGCTCTTATTTCCTGGCCAATATCTCCTGTTGCTTCATGTGTTGAAAACCAATTTCGGAATATCCAAAGAGCAGTATCAATATTTTCTGGTATAGAGAACTTTTATAATTGTGTTTGATTCATTTTGTTTTTCTTGCTCAGCATCTTTCTTTCCTTTTTTCTTTTTTTTTTTTCTTTTTTGGAGAGGTTTTTGCTACAGGGCACGTGTGCTTACCAGAAAGACAGAGAGGCAAAAAGTGAGAAATCACCCCCCAGAGGGGATGGCCACACCACAATCCCTTCTCTTCCTTTCTCCTCTCGGGATCTTGGGCATGCACGCACAGGCGCCCGGCATGAGTTTAAGCCACTGGGTCGAGGACTCGAACCGTAGTCGACTACATGGGAGTCTAGTGACATAGCCATTATGCTAACCGCTGGTCCCTCAGCATCTCTTTCTTCTGAGGACAGTCCATCAATTTCTTCTTGGGTATGACCCTCTTGCACATTTCAATGCATATGGCTTAAAAACTGTCTCCACATCCTATAATCCAAGCCTGGCTCATCAGAGCATCAGATTCTTCTAGCTATTGTGCTGAGTTCAAGGATGGGCTGGAGCCCAACTACAGCCATTCAGAGAAACACTGGAACCTTTGCCGAGGTGGTCACAGTGGAGGCACAGAGCTAACTCTGTACAAGTCTCATTTAAAAAAAAAAAAAAAAAAAAAAGCCTCATCCTCAAAACAGTGTACATTTCCTTCAGAAAATTGTTATGCTATTCTGATTTTGTATGAACAAGACATTGTGTGTGCTGTAACTAAAACACACGCCTTCCCTGGTGTACAGTGTAAATGTCAGTCACCCTTACACGCGATGCTCCGCAACTTGAGTACACACTGTGCGTGATCTTGTGTGATCCTGACCTCCGCTCCTTCCTGCCAATCTCGCTGCAATGAGGACAGAAACCCGTAGCTGTGCCAGGGGCTTTCATAGGAACAAAGAAATATTTGAATATCAAAGTAGGAGAGAGAGGAATACACAGATAATGATGGTGGTAGAGGGACACGGAGACAGGGCTATAAAGCAAGATCAAGACTTGATTAAAACAAGTGAGCTTCTGGATCCAGGCATGCATGAAGAATTTCTTTTGGACTTTTTCAGTTATGTAGTATTTTCTTCCTGTTTTTCGAAGTCGAGTGGACCTTCTTCTAATGCACCTGTTCTAACACACCATATCAAAAAGGATGAAATACGTAGATGGCTGATGAGTGGACCCCACATGGCTGACTGTGCAGTTAGGGTCTCAGACCAGATGGCTTGAGAGACACATCCGGTGTATGTCTATGTGTGCCCAGGATCCCTAGAGGTGAATACAGAAGGGATTGGGGCATGGCCATCCTCCTTGGGTGGTGATTTCTCTCTGTCTCTGTCTGTCTCTTTCTCTCTCCATCAAGCACACATGTCCTATAACAAAATTAATTAAAAGGGTGAAATAGCTGCAAGAGAGACCCCATTAAGGTAACACCCACTAATTTAGAAGGGAAAGACACAA